TAATTTCAAGAATAATATTTACATTTAAATATAAAACATCTTGAATATATTCATGTATATTCACGTATATGTATATTCAAAAATTAGTCGATTTAGTTATTCAAGAATTATATGAATATATTCAAAACGTTTTATATTTAAACGTAAATGTTATCATTGAAATTAATAAAATATATAATCTAATAATTAAAATATATAAAATATATATTAATAATTAAACTATTTAACTATAAATTATGTAATATATTATTTATTATAAAAATATTATATATCTAAATTTCCTATATTTCCTATATTTAAAAATTATAAATAATTTTTAAAGAATTTAACATAATAAACTATATCCGTGTAATTTTAATGAATGTCGTTACAATTATTGGCACGAACAAAGGGACGTGAACATGAGACTTCATTAAGCACTTATAAAATGAATAAAAAAGAATTTTTACCAAAAAAGGTATAGTTAAACGTAATATTTGAAGTAAAGAATTTTTCTCATTAATAAATTTTATAAATAAAAAGTTTCTTTTTTCATCATTAAATAGTAAATAGAAAATAATTTATACCAGTAACGTATACGCGAATGATATTAACGTTAATGCATTACAGTGAAACTTTTGATGTCTGAAGGTATACTGATTTTTTCACTAAAATTTAATTTCACCCACAATTTACTCGACTTCAAGATTTTATCAGCCGTGCCACTTCATCTTCGAGCCTCTTATTCGATTTATTTTTAATCCATTAAAATGTTCACACTTTTATCGTAATTTATGAATATGGCGAATTAACTTTTCAACACCTCACATGACACGGAGATTAAAGTAATTATCAATTTTAAAGATTTGCGTTAAAGATTTTACGAAAAATCGGACTAAATTATAATTCTTCCTTTTCACTTGAAAAATAAAATTCTGATTGAAGAGAACGATTCATAAAATAAACTTTCATAAATAACAAATTATTCTATGTTTTACAAATAGTAAACCTTTATAAAAAGTCAATTATTGTATAATATATGTACACCAATATATTATTTACAATATTTTATAACGTATCGAATTATTATGAAAATTAAAATAAAAGATTTTGAAAAATTTCTAAAAAGACTACGATTTTAGGGGACTTATGGAAAATACAATTTCAAGAAACTTTTGAAAAACTTTTACACAATTTAAAAAGAATTCGAATCTAGATGAATTTTGGAAAATTTTAAGAAACTTTTGAAAATATTCGATTTTAGAGGAATTACGAAAAATATAAAGGAAATACGATTTTAGTAAGACTTCATAAAACCTTTAATAAATACAATTTTGTGAAACTTTTAAAGAACTTTTACACAATTAAAAAGGAATTTGATTTCAGAAAAATTTAGGAAGATTTCCAAGAAACATTTAAAAATATTCGATTTTATTTGAATTATAAGAAACATAATAAAAAAATACGATTTTGGAAGAGTTTTTAAAAACATTTAAACAATTAAAATAAACATTCGATTTGTAAAAGAACTCTAAAAGGTTAAAAGAAAAGGAAGTACGATTTTAGAATACTTTTGAATAACTTATAAAAAATACAATTTTTCTCTTTACAATTCTTGAAAAGCTGCTGAACAATTAAAAAAGAATTCGATCGTAGAAAAATCTTAGAAGATTTCTAAGAAACTTTCAAAAGAATTCTATTTTTCTAAATTTCTATAAAATTTAAAAAAAAAAAGAAAGATTCCAAAACACTCGAGAACCTTTTAAAAGACCTTAAAAGTGGAGACTTTTGAGCAGGACCTTTCGAAGTAAACGAGGAGTTTACAAGTTCGACGTTGATTTTGATAAGGCAGAGAACGGTGCTATCATCGGGGAGTAGGATCCGAAAGGATGAGAAACCGTGTCGACTGGTCGGGATCAATTTGGCAGAAGTAACGGGAGACCGAGTGTCTGACTGGCAGAGGAGGAGTTTCTACATATAGAGGTAGAAGCGAGTCGCGAAGCGACTCAGTCTCGTCCAAGCCATGCGACATTGAAACACCGTGCCGAATCGCGCAAGTCCCACTGCCGGTTTTCGTCAGGTGTCGTATCAGTCGCTCCAACGGTGGCTGCATCTAGTGACCCAAAGAACGCGTGTTTTGTGTATCCTCAGCGTCCAACTAGCATCGACCCAAGCCGATCGTTTCATCGCATAAAGGTGGGTTTCATCCTTTTCTTCTCGATCGCTCTAACCGTGAGAATCGAAACGCGGGAAATCGAATTTTGAATTTACCTTGAACAATGTATAGTCGACTTGAGATCTCAGACGAAGTACAGAGATCGAAATTCGTATTCGAGTCGAAGGTCGACCGCGTAAATTTGAATTCGAAGTGAAGACGAAGACTCGATATTACGTGTCTAAAATTTGCTTCGATCTGATCTGTATCTGATTTCAAAATTGACATATAGCTATTCGCATAAATTTCTCGGAAGTTTGGTATCGAGGCAAAAATGGAAATTCGAATTTTAATTAAAACGAAAAAATTAAAATTCCAATTTCAGTTAAAACGAAAACCTTGAAATTCAAATTTACAGATAAGTATCGAAAATCTTTGAATACAGAGCCGAATTGAGATTTCAGACAAATTACAGAGATCAAAATTCGTATTTGACTCAAAGATCGACTACGTAAATTCGAATTCGAAAAGAAGATTCGATATTATGTTTTAAAATTCTGTCGATCTGATCTATGTCTGATTTCAAAATTGACATATAGTTATTAGCATAAATTTCTGGGAAACTCGTGGCAAAAATCGCAATTTGTATTTAATGGGTACGAATTAAAATTCGAATTTCAATTAAAACGGAAAACTTAAAATTCGAATTTTCATAAAAGTATTAAAAATTTTTGAATACAGAGTCGAATTGAGATCTCAGACAAAGTACTTACAGAGATCGAAATTCGTATTGGAGTCGAAGGTCGACCACGTAAATTAAAATTCGAATTCGAAGATTCAATATTATGTCTTAAAATTCAGTCGATCTGATGTATGTCTGATTTCAAAATTGACATATAGTTATTAGCATAAATTTCTGGGAAACTCGTGGCAAAAATCGCAATTTGTATTTAATAGATACGAATTAAAATTCAAATTTCAATTAAAACGGAAAATTTAAATATCCAATTTCAATTAAAATGAAAAACTTAAAATTCGAATTTTCCTAAAAGTATTAAAAACCTTTGAATCCGAGTGCAAAAATTTCGCATGGAACACGTCTCAATTAAAAGCCCAAACAGGGTGTAAAATTAATTTCTGTCATATAAATTTGAAAAACTTATTTATTTAATTTCGAATACCTCTAAAATATATAATTTAGGCACCTATATTCTAACGACCCAGGATAATTCAAATTTCTAGAATATCATAAACGTTCGTGGATGATTAGTTTACGATTTCATCACGATTTGGTGCGTTGAGATTCGAACGATTCTTGATTACCAACAATGTCAATGTTTACACGGTGCTGTGCGAAGGTTGTATCGTTATCATGGGATTAGTAGCCGGAGATTAAGACAGAATTATCGATTAGGCTACCGGCTTTAGGTACTGATTGCGGAATGCGCAATGGATGTGCAATTCTTTAGCGCTGACTACGTAAATTCGAATTCGAAAAGAAGATTCGATATTATGTTTTAAAATTCTGTCGATCTGATCTATGTCTGATTTCAAAATTGACATATAGTTATTAGCATAAATTTCTGGGAAACTCGTGGCAAAAATCGCAATTTGTATTTAATGGGTACGAATTAAAATTCGAATTTCAATTAAAACGGAAAACTTAAAATTCGAATTTTCATAAAAGTATTAAAAATTTTTGAATACAGAGTCGAATTGAGATCTCAGACAAAGTACTTACAGAGATCGAAATTCGTATTGGAGTCGAAGGTCGACCACGTAAATTAAAATTCGAATTCGAAGATTCAATATTATGTCTTAAAATTCAGTCGATCTGATGTATGTCTGATTTCAAAATTGACATATAGTTATTAGCATAAATTTCTGGGAAACTCGTGGCAAAAATCGCAATTTGTATTTAATAGATACGAATTAAAATTCAAATTTCAATTAAAACGGAAAATTTAAATATCCAATTTCAATTAAAATGAAAAACTTAAAATTCGAATTTTCCTAAAAGTATTAAAAACCTTTGAATCCGAGTGCAAAAATTTCGCATGGAACACGTCTCAATTAAAAGCCCAAACAGGGTGTAAAATTAATTTCTGTCATATAAATTTGAAAAACTTATTTATTTAATTTCGAATACCTCTAAAATATATAATTTAGGCACCTATATTCTAACGACCCAGGATAATTCAAATTTCTAGAATATCATAAACGTTCGTGGATGATTAGTTTACGATTTCATCACGATTTGGTGCGTTGAGATTCGAACGATTCTTGATTACCAACAATGTCAATGTTTACACGGTGCTGTGCGAAGGTTGTATCGTTATCATGGGATTAGTAGCCGGAGATTAAGACAGAATTATCGATTAGGCTACCGGCTTTAGGTACTGATTGCGGAATGCGCAATGGATGTGCAATTCTTTAGCGCAAAATGGCCAGTCTTCGTTTCTCGATTGTATTGTAGCCGTGCTGCGACGATAAAGAGCGTAATTACCCAAGTAATGGAAACACGGTGATAACGTGCTCGTTAACGTCGTCCATTAATCTTGGTACAGTCGTAGAATTCGGAATCAATTAGACGAGCTCGTTCCGATCGGCGAAATTTAATTATTCGTGTCGTGGAAGTGTGACTGCCACGGTGGCTGGCTAATTAATTCGCTTCTGTACCAACGATACATCCTCCATTTCCTGTCATTTCGCCCAAATTACCGCTGTACTGCCATGGCAAACTCGTTCGAGCCGTTCTCTGACATTTTGTCCGGTTCTCATTGTCACCGATTGGCTCCCATCGTCAAAATGTCGAATTTCGTCGTAGACTGAAAAAAGAAAGAAAATATGTATATGAGTATGTGTGTCGTATGTGTGTTGCGCGTGTTTGCGATGCGCATGCGCGTGTGTAATAAAATTTTATCTCGGAAAATAAAGGTATTAGCTCCTACGAGTTGGAAAAATACAAAAACTTGAAATTTATTCGAGATATATATATATAAATGATATGCACATATGTAGATAGATTAGTACATATGTGGCGATAATTGTGAAAGCGGAGTAAAGATAAATTAAAAATTTCGAAGAAATTATATTATCATTTATTCTGCGATGTATTTATTTATCTTAGAATAAAATAAATATATATTTGTAAGTTTCGAAATGTTAAAATTTTCGTGTCCTGAATATATTATAAATTAAAGAAATGATATTATCATTTATTTTGTGATGTTTTTATTTATCTTACAATAAAGTAAATATATGTTTATAAATTTCGGAATAATAAAAGTTTCGTGTCTTGAATATATTATAATTTAAAGAAATTAATTACAACGGAGCTGCAAACGCAATGTGACGGTTCAATTCTTTGCTGTTTTGCTAAAAATAATTTTATTTTGTCGCAAGGTAAATAAATATATTGCGAAATAAATTATATAATGGCTTTGAAATTTTTTACTTCTTGTTACTCTCACGTTCGTAATTATCCTCACATCTGTGTATGTAGTTTGTACACATATTAACGATATTATATTATACTTTATTACATATCTGATAATTTGTATTATGTTATACTATATATATCATATTACATTTTACATTATATAATTATACATACATATATTATATACGCATTAATAATGTTATATTACACTTTATTACATATATGATAATTTGAATTATATTATACTATATATATTATATTACATTTTAGATTATATAATAGAGTATATATTAAGGTATACGATACATAATTATATATACGTATATTATACACGAAAACATTATCAAGTTGAAATATTTTCATACACACACACACGCATATGTATATAACAAGGTTGAAAATAATATATAGTAACGTTTTAGAAACTTTAAGTCTGATTTACAAACACCAGAATCATCAAACTACTAAACCGGATTTTAGATTTTCTGATCTATCAATTTTTAAAAATACTCTGCTTTTTTTCCCAAAATTGTTCCTACGTTTTATTACATTTTATATTATATAATAAAGTATGTATTAAGGTATACGATACATAATTATACAAACATATATTATACACACATTAACAATATTATATTATACTTTATTACATATATGATAATTTGTATTATACTATATTAGATATGTTATATTACATTTTAGATTATGTAGTAGAGTATATATTAAGGTATACGATACATAATTATACATACATATATTATACACGAAAACATTATCAAGTTGCAATATTTTCACACACACACACACGCATATGTATATAACAAGGTTGAAAATAATATATAGTAACGTTTTAGAAACTTTAAGTCTGATTTACAAACACCAGAATCATCAAACTACTAAACCAGATTTCAGATTTTCTGAGCTACCAAATTTTCAAAAATACTCTGCTTTTTTCCCAAAATTGATCCTACTTTTTATCGAAATAGGAATTTAATTGTCTTTACCGTCGTTACTCGTCCTTATGTTGTTGTCAATTTATATTTTATTTAGGTGCATGCCAAAATCGTGGTTCTATTCGATTCGAACAACTGCAAGGTGTTTCGAAAATTGCGAAACCGAGTTGAAACGCGCAATGCCACCTTAACGAGCTTTAATTGGGCATTTTATCGTCGCAGAGCACGGTATTCCACGGAGATTCGAAAATTTTGAATACACGAAATTTTGAATAGAGTCAAGGACGTTCAACTGGCAGGAGTCAAAGCAGCCAGTGCTTGTTGATGAATTCTCAGTATTTTGTAGCAGCGAGGTATACTAAATCGTCCATAATTATATTATAGATTAAATATATCGAAATGTTTAACAACATTTTGATATATTAATATGGAGGATTAAGATATTTAATATATGTGTGTTCAGGACATTTAACGCGCGGAAGTCGAAGCATGCAGCCATAAATTAATGACTGTCGACATGCTTTATAGTCATGAGGCATAGTATAGGGTGTCCCAAAATTAACGTAAGAAGCAATTTCGACAGAAAACACGGGCTTTTAATTAAAAATTGTAAATATTTCTCAAAACGAAAACGCGTTTTCCTCCA